ATAAATAACAAAATCAATTTATTATGTTTTTAAAATTATACTTAAAAATGTATAGTTATTCAATTTAGTAAATCATAATAAAATCATAATATGGAAGGTTATGGAGAAAGACAAAGAAAAGAAAGAAAGATTTAATACAATAAAAAATAAACGCAAAATTGTTTTAAATAATATGTATATAAATTATACATTTTAATACATTTTATACAAAAATAAAAAATATACATCTCATAAATTAAATATGAAATATTATACTAAAAAAACACTTTTTTTTTTTTTTTCTCATAAATTAAATATGAAAGATTATACTAAAAAAAACACTTTTTTTTTTAAAAGAATGACCACAATCATGAAATATGATAAAATCACTTCCTATTATATCAGACACATGTTGTGATTGTAAACCTGTGAAGCAGTCGTGAGATCTGTGTTTGTAATGCATGAACCCTACAGCTCAACTAACACTAAATCAGTTCATAAAAGCACAGAATGAGTGAATGTGGATTATTATCTGTGGCTGCAGACACAATGCATGTTTAGTTTGTAGGGTTCATGGGTCTGTGTTTGACCTGCAGGAGCAAAACAGCACTGAAGAAGAGGAAACTAAGCAGGTAAACCCATGCCGCTCGTGTCACTGTGAGTTATGATTGCACTGATTTGTGTGTGATGTGATGATTGTGTCTTCAGTCCCGTTCAGCTCAGTGATTTTGAGGCTTACATCAAAGACATGAGCAAAGACTCGGCGTACAAGTTCTCGCTGCAGTTTGAGGTAAAGCACGCACAGAGCACGTGAACACGTAAACACTCGTTTGCCGCGTCACGCGTGTGATTTATTGGCTTTGTTTGTGCTTCTGTCAGGAGCTGAAGAGCGTCGGTCTGGATCTGTCTCATGAAGCGGCTGATCTGCCCGGCAACAGACCCAAGAACCGCTACACCAACATCCTGCCCTGTGAGAAGCCCCGCCCACTGTAGTCATAGCAACGCTCTTCTGATTGGCCCACTTTCACAGTTAAACTAAAACTATTCAAAAGTGTCGTTATTTGAAACAAAATAAACGTGAACCGAAATCATATATTTACCATTTTAAATAAACATTTCTCATTTTCATCTAGTTTATTTACTTGATGTTGAACTGATCAAAACTAAAATAAAAATGAATAAAAATGACAAATAAATAAACATGAGAACAGAAATAATATCTAATAACCTTATTAAATCTAATAAAAATATTAACAAAACCGGTAATGCTTTACAATAAGGTTTACATTTTTTAACATTAATTAACTATATCTTTTTATGCATTTATTAATCTTAGTTCAAGACTTACTAATACATTATTGAAATTTAAAGTTGTATCTGTTAACATTAGTTAATGTAAAAGATTTATAAAGATAAAGATTAATAAATGCCGCTTCATGTAAAAAAAAAAAAGTTAATTATAATAATAATAATTTGTCAAATAAAAATCAGTTGCAATGCAGAACACACACAGAAATGAAGGAGACCAAATGCAAATACAGTTATAAATGTGGGTCTTTTTTAAAGTTAATTTTGCATGAAAAGTAATTTCATAAAAACCTATTTAAATTTTTTTTACATTAATTTTTATACATTTTAAAAATACTATAAATCCTCCCAAAACTGCACAAATGCAGAGGAAAAACATTAATAAAATGAGTGATATTACATTTGTTTAGAATTATAAAATGATTTACTATAGTCTTTAAATATGATGTCCTTAATTATTATAAATATATAGTATCAGATTTTTACATATATTTATTCCAAATATATATGAAAATACTTTTTTTTTTTTTGAGAAGTTAAGGAAGCTTTATTAAGTTTTATGCCCGTGGATGGTTTGCTGAGCTCTTTTTCACTAGTGTTTATTGATATCTATATTTATATGAATGGATGGATCTCTTCAGTATTATGAGTAATTTAGTTCTTCAGTGCAAATTTGGCCATTAAATAAGCTTTAAAAAATCATGAAGTTGACATTTTTTTCAAGAGAGGTTCTTACTAAAGATCAGCTTCTCCAGGAGAATGAGTGATTGTTATATTCATCCTGAATGTGTGTTTGGTCACAGATGATTTCAGTCGGGTGAAGCTGATCTCTCTGCACAACGATGAAGGCTCTGATTACATCAATGCAAACTATATTCCTGTGAGTAGCTCAGCAGTATCAGCGATTAGAGTCGAGTCGTTCACTGGTTACTGGGTGTCTCATTTGTGGGGTGGTGTGTGTTCAGGGTTATAACTCTACGCACGAGTTCATCGCCACGCAGGGGCCGCTGCCCGAGACCAGGAACGATTTCTGGAAGATGGTCCTGCAGCAGAAGTCTCACATCGTCGTCATGCTGACCCAGTGTAACGAGCGCAGGAGGGTCAGTTCCCGCGGCAACCGCTCCGTTATCGCTATGACACCACACAGAGACGGGCAGATGTTAACGGGGGAATGTGCTTCCTGTGCAGGTGAAGTGTGACCACTACTGGCCGTTCACTGAGGAGCCTGTGGCGTACGGAGAGATTACGGTCGAGATGCTGTCGGAGACCGACTCGCCCGAGTGGACCGTCAGAAACTTCAGACTGGGATACGTGAGGAACACAACTAACCATAACCCTGGATGATGGATGGATGGATGGATGGATGGGTGGCTGGATGATAGGTGGATGGATGATGGATGGGTGGGTTGGTGGATGGATGGATGGATGGGTGGATGGATAAATGGATGGATAGATTGATGGATAAATGGATGGATAGATGGATGGAAGGATGGATGGGTGGGTGGATGGATGATGGATGGGTGGGTGGATGGAAGGATGGATGGATAAATGGATGAATGGATGGATGGATGGATGGATGGGTGGATAAATGGATGATGGATAGATGGATGATGGATGGGTGGGTGGATGGAAGGATGGATGGATGGATAGATAGATAAACAATGGATGGAGCGATAAAACGATAGATAAAAGGATG